CTAGTCCTAAATTCTATAGTTCCGAACCAGTTCTAAAATCGACAGACGATAGAAAAAAGTATCATGATTCTTCAATCTTTTTGGTTCTTCCGTGTGTGCGATTTTAAGTTGTTTTGGAAGAAATGTGTTTTCAATTTGAAATTAAATTTGTTTGAATGATTGTAAGAAATGTAAGCTGTAGCTGAGTTTGCAGAGGTGGTCGCTATTATTTGTTAGATTCCAGTCGGTCCCAAGATGTTGAAATGTTAACACAAATTTTGGTTTTATATTACCAAGCTATGAAAAATCATCTGCGAAGCACAGAATAGAAGCGAATTTGAACGAAAAAGCCGCCGAACACATATCTATGTAAAGTAAACAAGCCTCCCGCTGCATCCCTTATTCGATAGTTCCGAACTAGTTCTAAATTCGACAAATAAGATCTAGTTCGTTCTGCATCCCTTTTTCTATTGTTCCGAACCATTTGTAAATTCGTCACTTAAGATATAGAGTTCTATTGAAAAAAACTGAAACAAATTAGTTTTTTAAAAATACCACTTTTCGCTCATTTTGGACTGGTGGGGATCTAGTTCCTATCGGACTAGTTCCTTTTTGGCGACAAAGACCTAGTACGGAACTAGAAATTTTATTCACTAGTCCGCGGTTTCCCTGCAGAGAGGCTATGGCGACTCCAAGTGAAATTGTTTATGATTAAAAGTTAACTATTTTATAATGTTAGGGAATGGTGACACCAATTTTAAGTTTTCATTAAGGATTTTTAAACACTTTTCATGGAATATTTTTATGTTTTCGTTAGGTATGGTTTTTATTATATTTTCATTTGCATCAGTAGTTTTTTTTAATTATTTTTTTTTTCATTGCGAAATTTGTATACCAACTCTTCGTTGATAATATGATCACTGCGTTTGATAAGATTTTGTAAATTCTTTCTTCATTTAAACTGTTCGGCTTTGGACAAGTGGATACATAAAAAAAATCTCTAGCAGAGCTTTCGCTAACACTTTTTGTTTGGAACCAATTATGTAATATTTTATTTAGTTCCAATATTTGCAGTCTTTACTTTTAGATAGGGCATTATCCTATTGAAAATATTTCTAAATCAAGATTTCTCAAATGCCTTTAGTTTGGTACACATATTGTAACATTTCATTTCTTTTACCAATTTAATTGAGTTAAATTTTCAAACAGGTGGCAACCCTCCTTAAACATTTTTTCTAATGTAGGTCTTTTAAAAATTCTTTAGTTTGATACCCACATTGCAATATTTAATTAGTTTAATCAATTTAACTGAGTTACAATTTTCAAATAGTATTTTTAAAAGCATTATTTTTTCAACCTCTTTAATTTGATACCTAGATCAATTAAATTGAGTTAAATTTTCAAACAGGTGGCAACCCTCCTTAAATATATTTTCGGATGTAAGCCATCTTAAAAATATAAAGTTTGATACACAAATTGCAGTATTTCATTTATTTTATCAATTTAGCTGAGTTTAAATTTTCAAAGAGGCAGCAATTGTACACAAACATATATCCAGCAGTTATCTTTCTTAAACCTCTCTACCTTAATACCTATATTGTAATATATTATTTAGTTTATCAAATAATTAAGCTAAATTTTTTAACAGGTGGCCCCCCTCCTTTAAATATTTTCGATTTTAAGCCTTCTTAAAATAGGTGGCAAACCTCAAAAATATCTCCAACAGTTATCTTCTGTCGGCGGCTGTGGTGTAGTGGTAAGCAGTGCGCGCTTCCTCTCCGCAACGCCGGGGTCAAACCCTGGTCAAAGGATCGGTCGTCCCTCGGCAGGCAATAGCAAACCTCCGACTGTATTTCTGCCATGAAAAACAGCTTCTCATAAAAATACAATCGTCGTTCGGAGTCGGCGTAAAACTGTAGGCCCCTCCGCTCTGTGTGACAACATCAAGGCGCACGCCACGGAGGAGAAGCTCGGCCAAACATTAACACACATATTATTATTATTATTATTATTATCTTTTTTAAGCCTCTTTAATTTGATACCAATATTGTAAAATTTCATTTATTTTATCAATTTAACTGGGTTAAAATTTTCAAATAGGTAGCAACCCTCCTCAAAAATATTTCCATCAGTCATCTTTTTTAAACTTCTTTAATATGATACCCATATTATAATACGTTATTTATTTTATAAATTTAATTGAGCTTAGAATTTTCAAAGCAGGCGGCAACCCTCCAAATTTTTTGACACAAATGATCTTGGTATTATACCGAACAATACAAAAAAATAATTAATCAAATCGGTTTAGCCGTTCTCAAGTTTTGACGACCGTGACATTCGAACACAACATTTTTATATATGTAGATTTCTAAACCAAGATTTCTCAAATGCCTTTAGTTTGGTACCGATATTGTAACATTTCACTTATTTTACCAATTTAATTGAGTTAAATTTTCAAACAGGCGGCCACCCTTCTCAAACATATTTCCGACAGTAGGTCTTTGAAAAACTCTTTAGTTTGATACCCACATTGCAATATTTCATTTGCTTATTCAATTTAACTGAGTTGAAATTTTCAAAAAGGTGGCAACCCTCCTCAAAAGTGTTTCTCAAAGTCTTCTTTTTTAAACCTCTTTAATTTGATACCTATATCAATTAAATTGAGTTAAATTTTCAAACAGGTGGCAACCCTCCTCAAACGTATTTTCGGCTGTAAGCCTTCTTAAAATTCTAAAGTTTGATACCCAAATTGCAGTATTTCATTTATTTTATCAATTTAACTGAGTTTAAATTTTCAAAGATATGGCAACTCTACTCAAAAATATTTCCAGCAATTATCTTTCTTAACCCTCTTCAATTTAGTATCTATATTGTAAAATATCATTAAGTTTATCAATTAAATTGCGCTAAATTTTTTAACAGGTGTCAACCCTCCTTTAAAGTATTTTCGACTGTAGGCCTTCTTAAAACTCTTTAGTTTGATACCCAAATAGCAATATTTCATTTATTTTATCAATTTAACTGAGTTAAAATTTTAAAAGAGGTGGCAACCGTCCTCAAAAATATTTCCAACAGTTATCTTTCTTAAACGTGTTTATTTTGATACTTATATTGTAATATTTCATTTATTTTATTAACCTAACTTAGGTAAATTTTCAAACAGGTGGTAACCCTCCTAAAACATATTTTCCGCTGTAAACCTTCTTAAAACTCTTTAGTTTGACACCCACATGACAATATTTCATTTATTTGATCAATTTGACGGAGTTAAAATTTTCAAATAGGTGGCAACCCTCCTCAAAATTATTTCCAGCAGGTATCTTTCTTACACCTCTTTAATTTGATACCCATACTGCAATAATTCATTTACTTTATCAATATAATTGGGTTTAAAAATTTTCAAATAGGTTGCAACCCTCTAAATTTTTGTGATTTCATTGATCCTGGTATTATACCGAACAATACAAAAAAAATATTATTAAAATCGGTTCAGCCGTTCTTGAGTTTCGACCCGTGACATACGAACACAACATTTTTATATATATACTAGCAGAGCACCCGACGTCGTTCGGGGTAAACAAATCAAAATATAAAACAGTAATACAAATATTCAGTTCAGCACAAATTAGAGGAGGAAAACTATTCAACTATTTACTATATATTGATCATCACTTTCTGTACTAAAAATCTTGTTCCATTATTAATATAAGGTGGATTAAGGTAACGATAGAATTTTTAAATTAAAATTACTCTACTATGTGTTTTACAAACTCACTTATATAAACCTTACTATAAGCACCCACCATAGATATGTCTGCATACCAAATTTCAAGTTCATGTGACTTATAGTTTCGAAGTTATAGCTGATAAAAACTCCACGTCTACGGGACGTGCCACACCCCCTTTTACAAACTCATTCATATACACCTTACTATAAGCACCTACCGTAGCTGTGCCTGCATATCAGTTTTCAATCTCGTGGGGCTTATGGTTCCGAAGTTAAAGCTGATAAAAATGTCACGGCTATGGGATGTGCCACGACCCCTTTTATAAACCCATTCATATACACTACTAAAAGCACCTACCGTAGCTGTGCCTGCATACCAAATTTCAAGTTCATATGACTTATGGTTTTGAAGTTATAGCTGATAAAAAAATCCGAGCCTATGGGATGTGCCACGCCTCCTTTTACAAACTCCTTCATATATACCTTATTATCTAACACCTACCGTAGATATGTCTGGATACCTAATTTCAAGTTCCTATGACTTATGGTGTCGAAGTTATAGCTGATAAAAAAACTCCGCGACTATTTGATGTGCCACGCCCCCTGTTATAAACTCATTTATATATACCTTATTGTAAGAACCCACCATAAATATGTCTGTATACCAAATTTAAAATTCGTGTGACTTATGGTTTCGAAGTTATAGCTGTTAAAAACTCCACGTCTACGGGATGTGCCACACCCCCTTTTACAAACTCATTCATATACACCTTACTATAAGCACCTACCGTAGCTGTGCCTGCATACCAAATTTCAAGTTCGTAGGGCTTATGGTTCCCAAGTTATAGCCGATAAAAAATTTCACGCCTATGGGAGGTGCCACTCCCCTTGTCGGATCCCAATTCTTTTCACCCTATTATAGGCCCAGGTGTCATAGCAATACTCTGTCAAAAGTTTGTTCGATTCAGTCCGTCCGTTTAGACTGCAACCTGGCACATCCATACATACTGCCACAAATATATAGTAGACATCTATACTTGTCTTAGCGTAAAATAATTTTTGGGGATATCTTGGCCCCGGGGCCACCTATCAGGTAATTTTTAAGTACAACTATTTATTTTCAATTGGCTAAATTGCATTCTTAATATGAGCTAAATCGGCAAGTAAATGCAATTTTTAGGAATATCCCGACCCCAGCGCCACCTAGCGATGAAATTTTTAGTCGAAATATTTCCCTTCAAGGTGCTGACATATGATCCAAATATGAACGAAACGGGTCCAGCCGATTGGTAGTTTAGTTACATTCAATATACTGAAAACCAGGGCTGCAAACCACTCCAAAAATCGGTGTGGTTCGGTTCGGTGGTTCGAACCACTTAGAAAAAGCTTGTACCGGTTCAAGAACCTGTTCACGAGTATCTCTGAACCATGGTTCGGTTCGGTTCAAATGGTTAAATTTAAGCTAAAGGGTACAATTATTGCAAAAATATGACAAATCCATAATATGAATATTAAAGGCTTTGTTACTGAGATCAAATTCAAATACCCACATATATAGTGTAGGGATAGGTAAAATCGATATTCGAAGCTTCGAGATTCGATTTTAATCGAATTTTAGTTCCAAAATGGCGAATTTTCGAAATCGAACTTTGGGGTGCTAAAATTCGGACAAAATCGAATTCGAATTCGCATAACTGACACGACATTTTATCAAGTTTTGGCTATTTTTCTTTTGTTCATTTATGTTTATTTTTTAACCATATAAGTCCAAGTTTAAAACTTTGTGAAAAAATTATAAATATTCTGCACAGTTTCATCTAAATTGCAAATATTTTAATAAGAATTTCTAGGGAAAATTTTTAAGTTTTAAGTTGATTTTTGACAATTTTTTTTTACATTTTTCAATTTTTTGTATGGAATAAAATGCATAATACCTTCAACAAAAATATTATTTAAAGTCAACGCGATTTAGGCGAAATTAGACAAATTTTAATAAACTTTTTAAGGTTAGAACAAAGGTGAGCCTAGCTAGTCGGGTAGACAAAACAGCATAATCAGAATTTTGAATTGATCCTCAAAATCTTGACTTAATATTGAAACCCTAATTTTCAATAGGTTGGAGTTTACACTATGTAGGCCTCAACTTCATATGTACAAGTATACCTATGGTCAAAATAATATGAGTGCGGCATTTGACTATTTTTCTTTTGTTGGTTTAATGTTCACAAATTTTTTATAAAAGTATAGCTCGTTATATAATAACAAGCACATAAATCCAAATTTCAAACTTTGTATGAAAATTTGAAAAACTGCAAACTTCAATAACGTTGCATCAAAGCTCCAAACTTTGCTGGCGTTGTTAAGCATTTTTCCATATAAGAAAAAAATCAAGCATTCTTTATATGGACGAAATTTCAACTCGTTTTACTATACCGGTTGCATTTTTAGACAAATTTGTGTATTACAAAACTTGAAAAATGATGTAGTGGATTTTCATTTTGAACCGAACCGAACCATTTTTTTGGGATGGGTTTCGGTTCGGTTTTGGCATTTAAAAACAAAAACGGTTCGGTTCGTGGTTCGGTTCGAAGCCCGAAAAAAGCGACGGTTCGGTTCAAAAACCGGTTCGGTTCAAAACCGGTTTGCAGCCCTGCTGAAAACTCTATGAAATTGTGAAATCGTGACGTCTCAGAATTCTTCATTTTTCGGCAACAACAACAAAAAATTCGAAATTTTTTTAAATCGAAAAACCTTTCACACAGAAGAACCAAAAAATTACTTTTTACAGAATTGAAGTCGGTTCAGCCGTTTGGTCAGGCATCGTGGTCATACGAAAAACATTTCATTTTTATATATATAGATATAGATATAGAAGAGAAGAAAAACAATTTGTTATAAGGCCATAAAATAACAAAAACAAGTAATAAGAAAACTGAATTACCTTTTTTTTAGTAATAGGAAAACTGAATTACCTTTTATATTATGTGATAAATTTAGACCAATTCATATTTTATTATGTACGCTAAACCGTTACGAAAGCACTTAAAAAATAAAAGACTGAATATAAAATTTTTACATGAAAACTGTGTCCATTTCTAAGTTCTTTCCTTGGAACTGAGAGAGCGAAATCTACTGCAGTGGAAGCATGAGGATCTAATAAAGGTAAATCGTTTTCATTATTTGTGCAGCAAATATTATGTAGAACAGCAGTAGCAACAATTATGCTCTGGACTTTTTTGTGATTTAAACGAATTCCAAGTGACAGAATTGGGAAGCGCCTTTTCCAAACACCATAGCTCCTTTCCACGTTACAACGCGTTCTTATTAAAGACTCATTGAATAAGTTTTCTTCTGGAGTTATCGGTTTAGACAAAGGTGTTATCATAAACTTTTTATTTGGATAACCACTATCTGCAACAATTAAACTATCCCCGAATTCACCGTTTTCGAAACGAGAATAAATCCTGGAATTTCTTAATATATTTGAGTCGTGAGCAGATCCGGGCCAGCGAGCAACAATGTTTGTTATCTTTAAGTTTGCATCACACATTGTTTGGACGTTAATGGAGAAAACTCCTTTTCTATTTCGATAAAGCTCTGAATTATTGCCACCTATGGAATATGTCAATATTTAATAGTATTTTGTGAGTTCGTCTACTAGGCAATAAACAAAAGCAGGTACCTGGTGAGATTATCTTCACGTGCGTACCATCCAAAGCACCTATTACTGTGGGAAACTTAGCAATAATGTAAAATCCTTTATAAGCTTCATATTTTTGGCTGTCATCTTTTGGAAATATTATGAACCGTTCTCTTAGGCAGGCTATATGGTGTGACACCAGCGTAATAACTTTGGACACTGTCGATTTTGATGCCCCAAACAAATCGCCAATTGTTTGAAGCATTCCACTAGTCCCATATACCCGCAAAGTGATTAAAAGCATTTGCTCCTCTGTTAAGGCGTGATTCCTACAAATGGAAAAATTATTACTTTAATTATTAAACTAAAAATATCCTTACCAATCTGTTGGGTGCTTTATGTGATGTCCGATAAGCTCCAAAATGCTATATAAAATGCGATCATAAAAATCTTTGTCATCCAAGACATAGAAAAGATTTGGCCGAGTGGATACAATTCTTGTCCTTCGGAATACAACAATTGTGAGTATTTCGCTTATTTCTGTGTCGCTATAGTCACTGTCAGTAGATAAATCCATTTGATTTTGTTGATTTCACTTTCAAATAAACTTTTCCAGCTGATGACAACTCGACAGATGAACAGCTGATTAGTTAAACTCAGTTTAAACCTGCCAGATTGGGCGTTTAAACTTAGTTTAAACTACGTTTAAATTGAACTGAAAAACTGCACATTGAGTTTAAACGAGAAACGAAGTTAAACTCGCACGGAAAAACTGGCGCTTAAAGTGCTCTAGCAGTTTATAATAAGCAGATATAACTCTCATTTTCGGGATATAGGTTCTTTGAAGCAATAGAAATATTATCGTGTACTAATCTATATATATAAAACAAAGTCGTGTTATTTACACCATTTATAACTCAAGAACGGCTGGACCGATTTTTTTGATATTTGTTTTTTGAAATTGTCTACCTTCCGAATAGCAGAATAGCTATTAAAACAACCGCTAGGTGACGCTGGAGTCGAGTTATTAGTAAAACCCCTATTTATGGTCCGATTCGCCTCATATTTGAGACATGTATTGACAAAAGGAAAAACAATACCATTGCAAAGAAAGAGCCACCAGGTGGAGTTGGAGTCAAGTTATTACTAAAAATCATGTTCATGATCCGATTCGTCTCATTTTCGATATATGTATTGACAATAGGAAAAACAATACCATTGAAAAAAAGAGCCCCCAGGTGGCGTTGGTGTCGAGTTATTACTAAAAATCGGGTTTATGATCCCATTATCCTCAGACTCAAAATATGTATTGATAACAGGAAAAACAATTCTTAGGAAAAAATTAGGCGCCAGGTGGCGCTGAAACTGATTTACATATGTATATGTAACTAAAAATCGTATTTAAAAATCGAACTTATTTCATTATCGAAATATATGAATTCACATATCGATGGTCCTCTGCAATAACGGCACAACTCAAAATTGAAAAAATTTAATCTCTTATTACTGTTAAGAGGATCATGTCTCTAACCCTTGGCTAACCCATGTCTAATCCTATCTAAAGTAAGTAGTAAAGATTATACATGAATAAGACAATGATTAAAGACATGAGCCACTTAACAATAGTACGAGTTTTTATTTTTTGAATTTTGAATTGTGTCGTTATTGTAGAGGACCATTGATATATTTATGACAGGAAAAGATACATATGTATGTATTATGCAAAAAATTTAAATTCAGTCGAAAACCGCCGTTTACGAACAGCTGTTCCTTATCTATATATATACAAATGGTGTGAAAAATGTTTAGTAATTCATCAATTGAGAACGGTTGAGCCGATTTGGCTAAATTTTTTCTTTAGTTGTTCGTTATTTCCAGGAGAAGGAAAATTATGGGAAAACCCTCCGAAAAAGTCGAGAAACTGGAAAAATTTATTTTTTGTATGGAATTTTGTGTGCTATTCCTTCTGAATAGCTTTCGAATGGAAAAATAAAAAATTCTAAGTGGAAAACTCGGAAAAATCCGAAAGAACGCAAAAAATTTGAATTTTTTTCGACGAAAGCTTGGAAAATTTCGGTTAATTGTGAAATTCATTGAGATCTTGAATCAATTAGGAACAAATTTCATAACCGATTCGAATGCGTGCCACTATTTTTGGAACAAGAAGTGCACAAAATTTTTATTTTTTCCGATAGGTGGCGAATGCATTTGGTTCGTTGGTAGCCTTTTGCCTAGATTAGCATATAGGATTCATTTTTTCCGTTAAGTGGGCCAGGAACCGATCTATTCGAAAAAGTCTTATTTATGGTCCGATGGCAAGTAGGTAGCTTATTGGCCGCGTTAACATAAAGGATATTTTTTCTGATAGTGGGCCAGATACCTATCAATTCCAAAAAATCTTATTTATGGTACGATTTGCTTAAAACCGATAACTATATTTTAGATATGCATAGAATAGAATCGAGTCATTGTTTTACAATTCGAAAGGTGTTTGAAGGCGGTGCAAACATGCGAGTATTGGCTATTTAACAATACTTATTACACAGGCCAACAAAAATGGAGAAAAAGTTGATGTAGCAAATGTTAACGCTATTTTTGCCGAATTTTTGTGTGCTGATTACGAATCCGTAAGCATTAAGTTTCCAGCAGCCCTTGACGAGGTCAAAGTGTCAAAAAATCGCGTTTTTTTTAATATTTGGGAAGCTCTAGCAAAGAAACAAAGGGTGGTAGAACCTTCCACTTAGGCTTTGATTAAAGCTAAAAATCTCGAATACTATCCTTGCAAGTTCCGGCACCTTTGCTTGATGGTCACTTATAGTCATTTGTTGAACAGGAATAACTGATTTCGGGAAGTTTGAATTCCTGCCGCAATTCAGAAAAAGGTGTTAGATCCTTCCACTTAGGCTTATTTTAAAGCTAGAACTACAGACTACCACCCCTGAAAGTACTATTGTTGCACCTTGCCCTAATGGTCACCTATACTCATTTACTTTTTATCGTCAAAAATTGTGTAAAAATCAATGTTCGCTGTTCAATAAATGACTATAGGTAACCTTAGGGTCAAGGTGCAGCAATGGTATTATCAGGGATTGAAGTCAAAAGTTCAAGCCTTAATCTAAGTGGGAGGTTCTATCATCTTTTGCTTCATTGCTAGAGCTTCTCAAATCTTGCAAAAACGCGATTTTTTGACACTTTCACCACATTTTTCTCAAAATCTGGAGCTGATGGAAACTTTATACGGACATACGTATTCTTAATCAGCACAAAAAAGGGTATCAAAACCAGCTTCAACATTTGCCGCATCAAAATCGGTGTTGCCTGTGTCACCTACACTAATTATATTAAGAGAAGTTCCTTCTTTTTATAAGAGGCGATCTCGCAAACGGCTGTACCGATTTTTTGAAATTTTGGACACCTACTGCAGACTTTCGATATATTAAGGGAGTATGGCATCACCCATACATATCGTATTTTTCATGCCGTATATCTCTGAAAGTATTTGTGGTAGTGTCCTGGAAATCGGTATAGAGATTTTTGGCTACTGGAAAAAGGACATGGCGCTTTCCAAACATATTGTAACGTTTACCTAGCTGTAAATATATACACCCAGAATACAGTGTTTTATTTTCCTTTTCATAATAAATGTTTTTGCTAATTTTTTATAGAAATATAGTTCATTTTGCATCAAATGGCACCAAATTTTGAGTATGCAGTTTTGTAGAACACTCAATTTCAGTATCATAAGGGGCAAGTTTTTAATGGCTATAAGATACCTGATTTTTGAGAATTTTTTCGCTGATGATGTTACGCATTTTCTCCGTATAACGAATGCGTGAGAGTTTATATGGGAAAAAATTCCGAAGAGTATCAGTATGTAAAAGACTTATTCTGGTGGCTTAACTCCTCCTAAATGACCGAAACGATTTTAACGATAATTTTTAGTGGCACTGGAGCCGAGTTATTGCTACAAATAGTCGATTCGGAGGCGCCAGGGATCAAAGTTCAATTACTCCCGTTAAGTCAACCATCAGAACCATTGCGGTCCTTGTTTACGGTGACTAAACAGAATGTGGACCAATGATACTCGGCAGTTTAGAAATTGCCGTCAACTATACTATACAGATTAGAGGACAATTCACTATCGAGCCGCAAGGACTTCTTCCCGGTATAACGCTTTCGTCAGGTTATTTAAGACGGCAATGGAGGATATGCCTTCTGTCGGACCACAAAACCAAACGTGAACGTGAATTGCTGGCGAAAACATTGGACCAAATGTTCCAATAAAAAAATTAATTTTTGGCGGGACGAAGTTCGCCGGATCTGCTAGTTTTATATAAATCAACAAATGAGTAGTCCACTTGCAAAGTGCTCTATGTAAAATTTTTTCGATTTTTAGTTTTTGGTGGTTAACGTACCATTTAAAGTAGTTTCATGTCCACTAACAATACAGTGCAAAACTCCTTATATATTATGAAAAAAATAGCATCAAATGTTAGCTAGTCTAGCAAAAGTCGCTATAATACTTACAGTATGTATATATACACTTTCAAAAGTCGCTACAATATTTATTGTACGTATTAATACAAGT